TTGAGGTTTCTGTGGTTTTTGGGTTAAGAAACTCTGTTGCCCTAGGGGCATCCATTTTGTTGAATAAAGGTTTAAAGTTGTAACACACGGGAAAAATGGTCCTGGTGTCCTTTAGTATTTCAAAAACTGTAAGAGGGCCATTTAGGGCTAACCTCTTACCAGCAACATGGGTAGGGATGAGTACCTGTGATGCGTACAGCATTTCCTTCTCTTTGGAGATCATTTGAGGAGCAAGAGCAGATTGGCCTTGAATGGTGACGATTTTACTCTCCATAGTTGCTCCTGTAGTTTTTCCCTTCTTCTTGGAAGTTTTCTTGAGTTGAGATGATGTGGAGGAAGACATTTTTGTTGTTTGAGAACTTAGAGTGTTTAGGAGAGAAGAAGGGTAAAATTCTAGAGTTTGAAAGGTTTAGAGTGTAAAGAAGAAAAAAGGAAGGTTAAATTGACGTTTTATAATAAGAAGATGAAACATCCACCGAGTGAAAGTATGATACGTGGAGATCATGGATTGGTGTGATGAAGAGGTGGCGAGAAGTTGATATAGGTAATAGGCGTGATTTTAAAAACAATCATTACTTATAACTGCACCATGCTGTGAAGTGACTTTGGGGGGTTAAGGTACCCAAAGGGTGCTATGATTGATGTGACTAGGGTCAAACGCATTAAATGCTATGATGATTCGAAGATCCTATCAAAATCTTGTATAAATGTTTAAAATAGGTATTTCTCAGAGAGATCGAAATACATATTTTAAAGGGGCAATTTGTTGGCTGAAGATTTTGATAGTGTTATTTGGAATTCAAAAAAGAGCTAGAAGTTATGATCGAAATGGAATTAAAACACCACGTTCGAAATTGCAGAACCAGTGTTTCGAATGAGTGTGTCAAAGTTTGAAGCTTCGAACGGTAATCTTGGGAGCGTATTCAAAGGGGTCTCGAAACAGCAGTGAAGCTAAATCTGAGAAGAGCGTTCGAAGCAGAAGAACACCAAAGCATTTGAAATTTAAGTGAAAGCGGGACTTTCAAAGTTTGAAAGTTATGCGTTGGAGCATTTGAGGACACGTGGAAAGAAGAAAGGAACATTATCTTGCATGTTCGAAACGTGGCATGATCTTGTAGCGAGACCGTTAGGGTCGAATTAGTATAAATAGAAGTCTTAGTGTTAGGATTTCAGTGTGTCATATCTGTTATACAAAATACTCAATAACATTCAAACTACCACATGGCAAGGGAAACGAATGCAAGAGAGATGTATGTATGATAGCACCATGTATTTTTAATTTAATGAAAGCCTTTTTACTATTTCCAGCACTTTCCTTCTTTTTCTTTTTGTCGAGCAACATTTACAAGTTTCTTTATCTATTGTCTTTTCATTCCAAAGTCCTTTCTTCAAAGTCTTACATTTTACTGCTTTCTTTACATTTCGAAGCACTTTATGTTTCAGAGAACTTTTACGCTTTCAATATCTGTACTTTCATAGCATTATTCTTCAAACCTGTACTTTCACTTAAACTCCTTTCTAGATTTCTTGCATTAAACGCTTTCTTCATATTTTAAACTTCTACATTCCAGAAACCTTTTGTGTTAAATGTTTTATGGATCGAAATCAGTTACTTCATTTTTCATACAGTTTTCTATGTCTTTTCAATTAGCATTACAATTAGCAATCATTCGTGTAACTTAGTTTTCACATACATTTTGACCACATTCTTAAACTCTTAGAGAGAGGGATCGAAACAAACCAAACATATATACAATAGCACCCATGAATAATTGTTCGATTGTGAGAGTAACCTTGATATCCAAGGAGTCCTAGGATCAATCTAGTCGATCCTGTGAGTTACCAAAGAGATTGAGTAGCGTTAATAAAGACTATTCGATAGTTTGGAAGACTAGCGGTTGTTTTCCAGAAATCACTGGAAACACTCGCGGGCACCGTTCTTCTTCTTATACTGCTTAAGATGTCCATCTCGAATGAGTATCTCAATTGCATCTTTGAGGTGGATGCAGTCATCGCTGTTGTTTCTGTGGCTCTTGTGGAACCTGCAATACTTGCTTTTATCAGTCTCGGGCTTGGCGGGTGTTTGGCGAGGAAAGCGCAATCCGGCTTACTTGAATTCTGAGTTAGCACATTCTGTCAGAATACGCTCTTGAGAGGCATTGAGGGGGTGTAGTCGTGAAAACGACTAGCTAACCCCTTGTAATATTTGGAGTCCCGGGATTTGTCTTCCCGCTTTTTCTCTCCTCCCCGACGGGATGTCGAGGGCTCATCTCTTTTCGAAGACTTTACATTTTCCCTGTGTCGTGAGTCCCTTGTATTGTTGGCTGCCTCTTTTTCTCTGTACTGAATGTACGCTTGGTCCTTCAGTAGGAGAAAGTCGAGCGTTTCCGGAGTCTCGATGCCCACAACTTTGGAAAAGTCGCTGCGGGGGCAGAGCCCGCACTCGAGAAGATATTTTTTCATGTTGTCGGTCGTCGAGACCTGCACAGCTTCCTTGTTGAAGCGCTCGATTTAAGCCCAAAGAGACTCGCTTGTCCCTTGGATGATTGCTTTTAGTGATGCTTCTCACTTAGGATGTCGGCGAGAGGCAGTGAAATGCCTTGACATCATCTTTCCCGGCTGCTTCCAAGAGGTAATGGATTTGTCCGGGAGGATTTTGTACCAAGATATGGCACCTTTCCTTGAGGTAGTCGGGAACAGTCTGCACTTGATGGCGCCCCTCACTCCTCGGTAGTCGAGGAGTGCGTTAATATTCTTTGTGTTCATCAAGATCAATTGTACCGTCATATGTTCCAAGCGGGGGTGGCTTCTTCAGACCGACTGGGAGTTAGGTATCTGTAATCTCTCTTAAAAACGGACCGCGGGGCTCATTATTATCGCTTCCTTTGGGGGATGATGGTGGTGAGTAATGGTTCCTTCTCCGTCGGGCATCATTGTCTCGTCGAGGGGAGGGGCTTCTTCGCTGCTGCCTCGGTCTGGGCGACAATGATCGGTCGTGGTCAACCCGACGGTCTCTCTTTGTCTTCTTAGAAGATGGAGAGCCTTGATATTTTTTGGCAGGTGTTCGGTCGTGTTTCTTGAAGAGAGAAACGTCATGCTTCTCCTTTTTTAGCGAGCGACCATGCCTTGGTAGTGATATGCTGGGGGAATTGTGTCGTCGATGCCTCTGAGGATGAGACTTTGATTGTTTCTTCTCCCCGGCCCCTATCCTCTTGCTCTGTTGTAGGATAAGGACGTTAGTCTGGTTGAGGGAAGCGAGTAATACTGCCATGACCGGGTCGGTATTGTGAGGGATGGGAAATGGCTGTAGAATCTCCGACAGTTCCTCGGTAGGGTTCTTGGGAAGCTACTTGTCCAAGAACTGATGGTCGTCGCGCTGGGCGTTGATTTAATTTGGGGATCCAGTCTGTTCGTCTCTGATGTCAAAATCGTCCTCGAGGTGAGGATGTTTCTGGCTTCCGTCGATCTTGTGGACCAGGGAGAGCACAACCTTTCTAGAGAGGTGATGATCATATTGGTCGGCCATGATTGAAAGATTGAAAGTATCTTTGGTTTTCAGATTCTGGGGAAAGAAAACGGGGAAGGTGGTTTTCCACAGATGGCGCCACTGATCTTACTGGTTGATCAGAACCTGTTAGTGGATCGACAGATGATATATGGCTTGCTGGATATTTGATGAGAAAAAATAAGGGTCGTACCTGCAAGACACTCTGGCGACCAAGTGTGGGAGCAAAGAGATACAAGCAGAATATTAAGGTTTGAATATTGAATACTTGACCCTCACATGTGTGAAGGTTTATATAATATTCACGACGCTCGACTATTGGTTCTTATTTTTAGACCTAGATATGCGGGTCCGCAAAAATAAATAATTGTTAAGACTCAATTAAAATAGACAAGAGTGCCCATAACTAACCATTAGATCCAAAAAAGATGCGGATTACGAGCAAATAGACGTTATGGATATTTCTTAAAAAAAGTTTAAATTTAACTAACATGAAATTTGTTAGCTCAAAATTTTGAATGAAAACCTTAATTTTTGTGACCTAAATTTAAACTTTAACTTTTTTATGTAATAAAAGTTTGGTTTTCTTTCTATCCAACTTTGTTGTTTAGTAATTTAAAATTTAATTATGAGCAATGAAATGAAAGGTATAGTGACGCACTGACGGTCACATAACACTGATGGTGGATAACGCACGTGAGAAAAAAGAAACAGAACAAGAACGAAAGAAAAGAAAGCTTGATTACCCTTCTCAACACTGAAATGGACTTATTAAATTAGAATTCAAAAACACGAATCCGTTTGATGCTAGAAAAGCCAATAGAATAACGTAGCGAGAATAGGAAACACGAAAAGCACGAAGTAAAATTAATAACGCAGAGAAGAACAAAAATGGAGATGCGGGGTATCGATCCCCGTACCTCTCGCATGCTAAGCGAGCGCTCTACCATCTGAGCTACATCCCCATGCTGTAAATTTTTCTTAAATTCATTATTTACTTATTAATAATTCAATTATTTGTATTTAATTAATTTCATAATCACAAATCAATTATCTTGTAAAGTTTTAACACATATAACTTATAACTATAATTTTATAATCACGATTCTTGGTTATTAATTTCAAAGTCTATTAATTTATACACTAAAATTATTCCATAGCAGCTAGGTTGATAAAAACTAAACTGTTGCTCACACTTTTTTTTCTGCTTGTAAATCACCTCATCTTACACATAACTTTGAACATTTTCCTTTAAACTTAGTTTATAGATAGAAGAAACGAAATTGAATCCAATGCATACGTTCACGCATTTAAGTTATTATTGACAGTTTGGTAAAATCTAATTGTTCAATAAAATACATAATTGTTCAATCTTTATAAAACGACTACTAATATTTTAAATGTGTGAATGCGTGATTACTGACCTCAGGAAAATTGGGACCGAACTTGAACTATATACATATGATTACTCTAACAAATCCTAAAAGAGGCTTTTTCACTTCAACTCAAGCAGTCTCACTCCAACTACATTATTAAAAATTAAATTTGAGTCACCGAGTGTTTGTCAATGAAGGAATAATGCCATATACCATTGCTCTATGATAACTAGTTATCGTTAGAAAGAAAGAGGGGCTTCAAAACACAAAAGTGGGAACTTAAAATAAGTGCTTGGTAAAATCTATGCTTGATTAGTAGTATTCAATTTCTTAACTAACAGTGTACATAACAAATTACACAAACTAAATAAAAATTTGATTTCTGTATGGTCCATTTCCTCAGCTTCAAAAGACGTGTGTATTACCGATTCTATTACCAATAAGTTCCTTCAACTCAAACTCGCCGGGGAATCTGTTCTCCTTCAACTTGGAGAAAACCTGAGGTCCAAATCAACAAGAGGATTATGAAGTCATTCAAAGTATAAACTTCCTAGCATGTGACTGTTAACACCATCATCAAAAGAGGACACTGAATCAATTACCACGATTAACAATGGACTTACCAATTCGCCATTGAAATATACTTCGAAAGCACCAGAACTCTGTAAGAAGGATTGAACGAAATTTGCAAGAAGCCAGGTGCTGGCAATACTTCTAAACTTATTGGCACGCAAGGAGTAGTATAATTGTGGTGGTGTCACCCCCAATCTCGGGAATATCTGGTCACCTGCCGTTATAGCTATAATAATTCCAGTTTGTATCACTGGAATTACTTTGCTAATAACACGCTTCGGAAGTGGAGGTGGATAGTTAGCCAAAACAACATTAATCCCAGGAAATAAAGATTCCAGCATGTTTTTTACTGTTACTGCAGTTCCCCTGCAGAAAATTTCATGAAAATTAAACAAAATATATTAAAGTACGCTCTACTTGCAAGCTTTTTATCATATTGCAATGGCGAATCAGTTGTAAGTATTGATAGCATTCCTCTTGCAAATATATTGATTCAACAAATGAATCAAGCCAAGTAAGAATGCAGCTAGAAAGAACTACGTCAAGTCCAAATTTTGAAAAATTACAAGTTTTAAGCACTAGCGAAATTAGGTCTATGTGATGGAAAGATTACTATTACCACCAATACACACAGCTTAAGACTAAAAATCAGAACTTCTAAATAGGACAAATGGATGAGTGCCCAGTTTGGTAAAAGATGCAACGTTTTTGAAACAGGAGGATCTATTTGCTACAACAATGTTGGAAACAAAAACAAAAACATACTTCAGACCTATTAGTATAAAGATCCAGTGACTAAAGAAACCCAACTCAGAGAAACACAGGTTAATAGAACACCAATATATGTTGACTCATTGAGCGTTATATGAGTTTAACCTCTATATAAGTTGTTTCTATAAACTACCACGACTAGTTTAGGATAGTAACATTAAAACAGACTGTAGAAAAATCACAACCTAGTTTTATAAGTTCTTCCAAATACTCACATTTATGACATGAGAAAAGTACAAATAAACTCTTTCAAACACATCTTTAACAAATAACTAATACAAGATACCATATAGATATGAATGACTTGTTTGTTTTAATGTAGCATTCACACAAGTAGTCATATTTTTAATCATCTGGTTTAGACTTTTGCTTTTGTTTAATTTCCTTTCTCTATCAGTTTCCTTACAATACCAAAATAATACTAATAATAATAACAATACAACAACAACCAAGCCTTATCCCCTTAAGTAGGATCGGCTACATGAATCAACTTCTGCCATAATGTTCTATCTAAGACTAATACTTTTATCCAAATCGTTTATCTCGAGAACTTTCTAAATAGCTTCTCTTATAGTTTCTAGGTCTTCCTCAACCTCTAACTGTTTGATTCTTCTCCTTCTGATCTACTCTCCTTACCACAGAATCTATCTCTCTACATGTCCAACTCACCTAAGTCTATTTTTCACCATCTTTTCTACTATAGATGCTACCCCAACACTCAAATACATTATTTTTTTCCGGCAGACTCTACTAAATGTCTAAGGTGGACTAGTATTTAAAAATCACTCAAAAACTCAAACAAAATTGACAACACCTCTTGGAAGTAGAAGCTCACAGTTCTCCTAGTATTAAAGATTGAGACAGTAACCTAATTAGTGTTAATTCGGTTAATGTGCCAAGTGTGAGTTAAAAGTCTCACATTGCAATTGCATAGAAAAATGGATGTTGCGCAACATATAACACAAGTGAAAAGACTCATAACCTAATGCCTTAAAGTTTAAGATAGAAATGTGATTTCCAAAATCCAAATTCACTTATGTGATTGCTTTTAGTCCAATATAATGATTCATACAGTTGTTTTAAACTCTGGAGTCCAAACAAATTTGAAAAAACCAGAAAAGTCAAATGAGTTGAATTTTGAGAAACACTAGTTTCCTCTTATTTTTGTCAAACCAGCATTGATCAATCAAGTCATTGTCTCATACGTGAAGACGAGCAAGTTGATAGAATGTGTATTTATTTATTAAAGAATATTTGTATATAAGTCCCGTAGTGCTATTCTCACACGGTTTATTCAAATATCTCTCACTCTCTTACACGGGACTATGAGTTTCTACTTGGGCACGGCGACTATCATTATGAAATTTCGAATAATTAAGTACCAGTCCATCATGTACCATAGATTTTTCCTATTTTCCCAACTAGACCCACATATATTCATATACAGAAAAGAACTCTTGAGCTTAATTAAACAAAATTGCAAGAAAGAACAAGAGATTAAGGAACAAACTTGTAAGAACAAGAAATGCAGAAATCAATGCTCACAGTGTTACCAATACCAACTGGGCCAGCAACAATTGGGTCAAATCCACTCTGTTTCTGCATTTACACAAACACCTCATCAGCATAAAAAAGAAAAAAACAAAAAAAAATCCTGATAAATAAGGAAATTTAGGTATATGGCAAGAACAAAAAAAGGGTAATTAAAAATGGGAAATTGATTGAAAATGTGAAAAACCTTAGTGGGAAAATCAAGTGGTTGTTGTTGAAGATGCGGTTGTTGAGGTTGGGGTTGAGGGATTGGGTTGTGATGAGATGATTTGGGAGGCGGTGAAGGAGAGAAAAGGTTGATGATGTCAGTGAAGAAAAGGAAGATAGGTAAACCAACAAGAAGAATTTGTGTGCGATCCATTGCTGGAACAAAGACAGAGTTTTTGATCAAGAATCTGATGGGTGAGTTTTTCAGAAGTCGAAAAGAGTTGGAAATGGTGAATTAAACTCTGATAATATTTATAAAATTTAATTTAATTCAACTATATTAACCCTATGTAATATATCTAATTTAGGAGAGAAATATGATGGAAATATGGGAGAATACAGTTTGTTTTTATTCAAAGAAAATTTAGCATGTATATTTATGTTTACTAAATGAGTTATTTATATTAATAGAAATATTAGTATAATTTAGCATGTATATTTATGTTTACTAAATGAGTTATTTATATTAATAGAAATATTAGTATTATACTAAGCGAATAATTGGTATTATTATTTTATTTTTGATAAATTATATATTATAAATAATTTATTATTATTATTTTAATTTTGACTATTAAGATAAGTATTTCAAATATAATAATAATCTTAATTATTATAACACTTTCTCTTTAAAATTTATATTATGGTACTCTGTTGAAGTCTTGTTGAATAGAATTTTATGCAAACATACGTTGCCTCATTAAAAGTCGTATAAGGAAAAATTTATTGGGATAAAAACTTTAATAAGAGAAAAGGAGTACAACACATTATAATCTCCCTCAACAGAACACAATTAGTTCTTCTTTAAAGAACTCTAAGATGACGCATTTCAATATTTTGCACATGTGTCTTGAAAACTGATGTAGGAAGTGCCTTTGGAAATAGATCTGCCACATTATCACATGAACGAATATACTGATTATCAATCTCTTTATTCCTTTCAAGTTCTTGTGAGAATGAGAAAAACTTAGGAGGGATATGCTTGGTTCTGTCACTTTTATGTAGCCTTATTTCATCTGGGTAACACATGCAACATTGTCTTCATACAGAATTGTTGGATTATTATCAATTGGTAAACCAAACGCTCCTTGAATATGTAGAGTTACGGATCGTAACCATCTACACTATGTGCTTGCTTCATGAAGGGCAATTACTTCAGCGTGATTTGAAGAAGTTGCTACAAGTGTTTGCTTTTGTGATCTCCATGATATTGCAATGTTACTATATGAAACTATATATCCAGTTTGTGATTTAGCATTATATGGATCTGACAAGTACCATGCATCTGCATAACCAAGCAAAACTGGTTTTGTATTGTTAGAATAAAACAAACCAAGATCAGATGTACCTCAAAGATATCGAAATATATGTTTTATTCCTTTCCAATGTCTTTTTGTAGGACATGAGTTAAATCTTGCTAGTAAATTCACTGTAAAAGATATATCGGGTCTTGTATAGTTAACAAGGTACATGAGTGTCTCAATGGCACTGAGATATGGTACTTCAGGGCCAAGATCTTTTTCATTACCTTCCTTAGATTTAAATAGATCATTGTCAACATTAAGTGTTATATCCATCATTGGAGTACTCAAAGGGTTTGTTTTGTCCATGTTAAACCTTTTCAATACCCTTTCTGTATAATTTGATTGATGTTCCAATATACCATTTTTAGTATACTCAATTTGTAACCCAAGACAGAACCTAGTTTTTCCCAAATCTTTCATTTCAAATTCTTTCTTTAAGTAATCTCTTGCTTCCTTAATTTCTCTATTAGTTCCAATGATATTTAAATCATCAACATAAACAACAATTATTACAAAACCAGATATTATTTTTCTTATAAAAACACAAGGGAAAATAGGATTCTTCTCATAGCCTTCTTTAAGTAAATATTCATTTAATCTATTATACAACATGCGTCGAAATTGCTTTAACCCATACAATGATCTTTGCAACTTAATTGCATATATTTCTCTAGGTTTTGATGTCTTGGGCATTTTAAATCCTTATGAGATTTTCATGTATATATTTATGTCAGGTGAACCATATAAATAAGCAGTAACAACATCCATAAGATACATATCAAGATTGTTAAATATTGATAAACCAATTAAATAACGAAAAGTAATGGCATCCATAACAGGAGAATATGTTACCTCGTAATGAATTTCTGGTCTTTGGTAAAAATCTTGTGCAACAAGACGAGCTTTGTATTTGATAATTTCATTTTTCTCATTTTATTTTCTTACAAAGACCCACTTATACCCAATTGGTTTCACATCTTTTGGTATAGCCATAATAGGGTCAAATATTTTTCGTTTTTTAAGATAATTTAACTCAGTGTCTACTGCATCTTTCTAATTTTTCCAATCATGTCTATTTTGACATTCACTCATGATTCTTGGCTCAAGATCATCTTTTTCATTCATTATTTCACATGTAACTGAGAATGAAAATATCTCATCAATATTCATACCTTTTGGGTTCAACAAATTTCTTGTATTAACATAATTAATTGAAATCTCGAGATCATTCTTCTTTTCGTTTTCATTATCGATGATCTCATTATCACCATCTTGTGATTCTTTGAGAGCACACTTTTCAATTTTGGATTTATTATTATTATCTAGTGTCTTTTCAAGATCACTTTCAATCAAACCCACATTTTCTATTCCCTTTCTTTTTCGGGGATTTTTGTTTTTGGATCCCACAGGTTGGCCATGCTTCAAGTGTGCCTTAGATGTACTTGCTACGTCATTTAGATTTGAAATCTCAATCCTAGCTGAGAAATTTATAGCCGGTACATGTAACTTTGTTACTCTTTTCAAATCAGTAAACGAATTTGTCAATTGATTTGCTAAATCTTGTAAGTGGACTATTTTCTGTACATTTTCTTCCCATGATCTATTATATAGGTATTGATCTAGATTGAGCTAACGCTTACCCCACCATTGGGGAAGCCCAATCCAACACCCTTGCATAAGGCCCAAAGACAAGCAGCCCAAGTTGGAGATCGTTGGGCAACTCCCCATGTGTACGTATCATCATCATCATAACTGTCCTCCGGGAATCACGGGACCAACATCTATTCTCTCGGAACATTTGACCAGGGAGGAGGCCACGTCCTGGACTCCATACGCACGTAAGCCGTGGCAGTCTTTGTTGTTGGGCCTCATGATGGTCCAACATTGAAGACCTTGGCCCAGCACTAGGGGCTATAAATACCCTCTCACTTGAGAGGGTCAGGTATTGAATCATTCTATCTCACTCACTCATACTTGCTTGCATCATTCTGAACCTTACTTTAGCATCAGAGTGTCTTGAAGGTACCCCACCATCTCATCTACAATTGGTGCTCAACTCATAGCTCGTAGGATTTTACGATCCATTCGGGTCAGGTACGATCAATGGCACCGTCTGGGGGAAACAAGTTTCCCCGTCTTTCATTTACCTAAGAATAAAGCAACCATAAAACTCCTTGATTGTCATGGCTGACCCTGAAGATGTGAAAAACACAAGAATGGGGGGGGGGGGGGTTGAATTGAGAACTTGAATCTAAAAAGCTTAATGACACTGTATTTTTATCCTGGTTCGTTTGATCTCAAACTACTTCAGTCCACCCGTCAAGGTGATTTCACCTCTCTCCAACGAGGTCTTAATCCACTAACTCAACAAGATTACAAAAGCTACTTTAACAACTGTTAAAGTCTTCTTGAGTACAACCACAGTCCGGTTAATCTCAAGGAACATTGTTTCAATATAATTATACAATATGTGTATTGTTGTTTTTCTAACAAAAAACTGTTTATCACAACTGTTGTACCCCAAAATTTGCCCTCCCTTTTTCACAAGAAAATCACAACCCCAGGGTTTTCTCTGATTTTTTAAGATTGGCTCAGGAATCGATCAAACAGACTTTTCTTTAGCAGTTAATCCAGGATTAGGGTTTTCTCTCACATCTCTCAAAAGAAATTGAATCCTCAGAAATTGTTTGTTCAAATTTACTGATTGTTCTCAAAGCCTGATTATCTGGGATAAGAGCTGAGACTTTTGTTTGGAACATTAAGGCATCTGATTGTTAGTGGAGTGAAATGTTTGCCAGTTAATGGAAATGCTTGTTTGTTTAGAATGCACAACGCGTATGTTGATTGGAATACTGATGCAAAGAGATTGCAGAGTTTTTATGGATTACTTGGATTTTAAGTCATCTGTATTGGAAATGGTGGAATGCAATTTCATTCATTGTTTAATCAGGAATCTTAAATAAAAATGAAGAGGCAAAGGGAAAGATTGGAAGATATTTGACAGTAGAAATTTCTTTTGGATAAAGACTGTTTATTCATTTCAAATGTTGTTACAAAATTTATTTGAATATTGTAAATTTACAACTTACAGTATTTACAATAATATTTGTTTACAATAAATGAAAAAATAAATCTAAGCCTAATCTCCTAAGATCTTTGACTTCTACTGCTTCCTCTATTGCCCAAGATGCATTCACCTGAAAAAGAAGAAAGAAAAGAAATCAGCACAGTTAGTTGAAAAAGATTTTCAAATAGAAAAAGAAAGAAATCATCATTAAAGTTTGTCGGCCGGAATCAGAATGCTATGTTCATCATATTTTATTTTCCTCTCTGCAAATCACAAGAAGATCGTTCTTCTCGGTTCACAGAGAGAAAAAAATAAAAGATATAAATTGCAAGCATACAATTGGTTCAAATGCAAAAACATAGGCAAGTTGCAAGGCAAACCAAAGCACAGCAAAACTATGCCAAAACTGAATATCAAACTGAGTTGCAAAACATAAGCAAGTCAGCAAAGCTAACTAAACATGGCAAATCCAAACTAAGTTGCAAAACAAGTCAAGAAGCATAGCAACTAAAGCAACCAAGTAGACAATGCAGAAAGTATGCAAACTGTCAAAGTAAACAAGTACAGAAAGTACACAATGCAGAGAGATAAACCAAATTACAAGCCAAAGAGGCTTGTCCTAGCCATCATCACTTTCCAGCCTAGACAAACTTTTCAGAATTAAAATAATAAGCAAAAAGGTGCTTAGGGGAGAGAGGGAGAAAGAGAGGACCTTTTAGTGAAAAGAGTTTATAGTTTTGGCAAAGGCAGGTTTTTTTCAAGTTATCAAAGAAACAAAAAGAT